CACACACACACACACACACACACGTACATACAAGCACAGTGACTTAATCTGACAGCAGAGTCTGCTCTAACCTGCCATATCTCTGGCTGCGGCGGCGGCTGTTCTCTCTCTTCAGCGTCACAGTAATGGCGTCCTCCAAAGCTGAGTCAACATGAGCGTCCTCACTGTCGGAGACGAGAGGCAGGTCTGTGGTGTCTTGGGAATTGTCTGAATAAATATGGTCACACATTATACATCGGGTCTTAAAAGCCTTTTAGAAACTATGTATTTTATTAATTTTATAATGAGTTTTATCAGTTGTGTCACTTAAAAACTGAAAATTGTGTTTAGTGATGATGCCGTGAGAAAAAAAAGCGTAATAACCTGAATAGGTCCTTTTTCTTTCTTCTTGGGCATATATGTCAAGAAACTCAGAAAAGGCTCCTCTGCTGGCGCGAAGGCTCTGGTAGGATCCGACCTCAGAAATCACTCCATCCAGCAACACCACTATTTCATCAACGTACGGCAAGAAGCTTATGCCATGAGTCACCAGGAGACGAGTCTGTGCAGATAGACACATGGAGCATCGGTGGTGAAACCATAATTTGCTTTAAAAATGTTACGAGATTAACTGCAACAGAAAGCTATTAAATCAGCTTAAATAAGACATATTCAGATACTGAACTGCTACCAATACATGTATTTGACAAATGGAGTCACAAGTGGAACATTTAATGCTGAACAATGCTTTAATGCAGGTTCAGTACAAACCTTATCTTTTAGTAATCCATTAGGTCCAATCACTTTATCAAAGATGTGTTTTCCCACATGAGAGTCCACTGCAGACAAGGGGTCATCCAACAGATAAATATCAGCCTGATTATAAACTGCTCTCGCCAAGCTAATACGTTGCTTCTGACCTCCTGAGAGATTGATGCCCTAAGGGGAGGAAGAAAATAATAGGTTATTATTTGGATATTTGACCAATAATTAATATATGAATCAATAAAATATCACAGTATCATATTAAGATCCCATGATTCTCACCTTCTCTCCAATCTCAGTAAGGTCTCCAGCAGGCAGCAGTTCCAGGTCAGGGCGCAGGGCAGTAGCCTCAATCACCTCCTGCAGCCTCCTCTCATCATTGGCAGAGCCAAACAGGATATTATCCCTCACAGTGGCATTTTGGATCCAGGCTTGCTGTGGCACAAGTGCAAGGGAACCCTGGAAAGGAAGACATGTAAGAGTCAAGCTTTCCTTCTAACCATAGGTGGACCAGCCTCCTAACATATGGACATTTTATTTTACAAAAAGCTTAGAAAGACTAACTTTACTAAAATGGGTTAAATGAGTAAAGCATGGTTATTTTTGATTCTGTGAAGAACAGGAACATTTGGATCTGTCTTTCTTGAGCACCTTTGTACTGTAGGCTTCTACACTTTATATAGCATAGTCTATAGTGTTTGCAACTGCTGAGTATGTTTGAGATAAAAATATTTCTAGCACGGGACTAAAACGAAACTGAAGTACAGAAAGGGCTTGCAATTGGCAAAAGGCAGATGAATGGACTTCCACTCACTCACAGCTATTTTACAATATGGAGTTTAATGAGTTTGATGGATAAAAATAGTGAGCACTTTTTGTGTCATTGCTGCTGCTTATTCTGTATTTTAATAGTCAAATAAAGTCAAGTAGAATCACTAAATTGAGAACAAGGCTGATTTTCTTTGAGTTGTGTGCACACTGCATGTCCTTGGCTAAACATATTTAACACACAGATATAATGTCAGAAATAAGGTTTCACCTGTATGTTGATAAAACCCTTGACCCTGTGCATCTCTCCCAGGAGGGCCGATATGAGAGACGACTTTCCGGAGCCCACTGCTCCCACTACTGCTACCAACCGACCTGGCTTAATGTCTAAGGACACACTGGAAAACACACACAGAGCAAATATTTTGAAAAAGACATCAAAAGACAAGTTTTTGCAGGCATATAACTTAATCTTCAAATGTGTAACGTGTTTAACAAAACAGACATACTCTTTAAGCAGAGGTTCAGCATCTCTTTCCCAAGCAAAGGAACCATCACATACACTGACAGCAGAGTCTAACAAATTAAAACAGATATATACATAAGCCAGAGGACGTTTACAGGAATAAATAAATACAATCTAGTAAATAAGCTTTGCTGCTCTGATGAGAAACACAACTGAAAGCTGACATACCGACATTGGGGTCATGCTGCACAAGGTTACTTTCAAGGTCTTCACCTCCCAGAAACTTTTCCAGGCGATTCTTAGACACTTCTGTCTGAAGGGACAAAGAGCGGTTTAGAGTGGTTCTGCAATAGGATTTGTTTGAGCTCATGAATGAACTGGGCTTCCCTTACTTGAACTAAGATAGCGATGACCATGGGCATCATCGTGAGGGGAAATCGTAGGAGGTTAAAAATCGAGATGGAAGTAAAAGCTTTCTCAGGAGTCAAGATATTTTCTGGGCTCAACAGAACGTACACTGCAAATGATAACACAGAAACCTGCAAGAAAGGACAGGGTGAGGAAAAAATTATTTACAAAGACCATCCTTGACCTGCCTCTTTTTCATCTGTGATGCTCTTTCACAGGACTCACCAAAAGTGGAGTACATGTGAAGAGGAGGGTAGAGACACTTGAAAAATAGGCAAACTTCTTCATGACTTTAAGTTCTTCCTCCCTAATGCCTTCGACCCGGGTCTGGAAGGATGGCTCCCATGCATACAGCTTCAAAATCTGGTGGAAGGCCAAAGACAAAGAGGGGGACGAGGGAGTAGGGGGCATTGTAGAGGAGAAAGGAAAAGGAAGGGTGGGGGAACAGAAGAATAACTTTCATACCTTATGCAGTCAATGTTAATAAACCACAGGAGGCGAATGCAGTACAATACAAAGCTCTGCAGAGGATTTCAGCTTTTTCCTCTCAAGCATAAAAGCCTTTCATATGAGGATGGTCTCACTTGGAGTCGCCCACCTCCATTGATGCGGCTGAAATGTTTTTATCCGAAAAAATGCAATCGAGACGGTAATCTTACACCAGTTAACGATGATCGGAGATACAGTACATGAATTAAAGGAAACATATTATATTTTTTCAATTTCTCTTCCCTCTGCTGGGTTATATACGTTTTTTGTGTATGTAAAAGGACTGCAAGGTAAAAAGTACAAAGTCTATGGTAAAGGGAGCTCTAGTCCTCCACAGTAAACACTGAAGCTCCCGAAAACGCCTCGTCAGTAGTCCAACCAAAACTGACGTCACATTTGTATAATGCACACCTAGTGGATAGTCATGCCCCCAAACAAAGCCAGGTGAAGTGTGATTTCCTACACGCACTGGAAGTGGTTGACCAGTCACGACAGAGTGGGCCAACTGGCCAATCAGAGCGACTTGCCTATATCGGGCAGGGGGCCTTAAAGGTTCAGTGTGTAAGATTTAGGTGAAAGGGATCTATTGGCACAAACTGAATATGAAATAATCCTAATGATGTTTCCATTATGTTTCATCTAAATTGTATGAATTGTTGTTTTCTTTACCTAAGTTTGGTCCCTTTATATTTAAATACTTTATATTTACATCAGGATGGGTTACGGAGGCGGCTTTGTTTTTTACAGTTGTCCAGACTGGACAAATTAAACACCTTTTCAGTTTTTATGACAACTAAAGGCTACCACAGGTTCTCCTTCATGTTTCATGGAAGGGGAGGGTGGGGTGAGGGGCATTCAGCTGCAACACACAACATTCACCACTAAATGTCACTAAATTTGACACTGAGCCTTTAAATAGAAAGGAGCTAAAACCAAGCGTTTCAGACAGAGGCTGAAAAGAAGAGGTGCAACAATCAACAGAAAGAGGAAGTAATGTGTTTTTTGAACATTAGAGCATGTAAAGATTTTCAAGTAAGGACCCAAATTAAAATGATCAACCTCAATATTGTATGTCTCCTTTAACTGAATAAGGAAACTCACCTTGATCCCGTTGAGTATTTCATTCATAATCTTCAGTCTCTTGTCTTTATACTTCATGTTGTCTACCTGTAAAGAGATCCGTCGGAGAGAGAGGTTAAATTAAATCAAAATGTTTTTAACAAAAATTTAGAATTTCTCCAGTCTCGAAGACGAACACAATGTCATTGTGGGGAAAACAAATGCTTGGCCCATAATTAACAATTATTTTAAATGACCAGATGCAAGGAAGAAAACTGAGCATTTTATGTTTTTTTGTTGTTTTATTACGTCTGAAGATTTGGTCACCAGTAACCTCTGTTGTATTGGATTCTGCTCCCAAAGTGTTTTGTGGACTCAAACACTTCACCCACCCCTCCATTGACATTGTGGTGAGTAGAAGGTGTATTTTAATTTCTGGGTGAACTATCCCTTTAATTTCCATTACCAGAGTGCAAAGACTAGCCACAAAACAAGATGCATTTCTCAAGATAGGATTATGTGGTTGTTAGGCTGAGCCAACAGAATTTGTTTCTGCTGTTTCTCATGTGGAGTCTACACACAGCAGAGCATTTCTGCACACGTCCAATAAAATAATGGAAAGCATGAAAAAACTCATTGTTCACAAATAGTGACTGGAAATAGAATTAACATATACTTCTTGACAATAATTGTGGTTGGTGTGGTATTTTCATACATAACCCTAACACACACACTACATTATTCTCTCAAGCTTTGAGAACTATCCTGTCTATAATGCAATTCTGCTGACCTGGAGAAGTCTGGACTTTGTAGTGAGCAGCACATTCAATGGTGCCACCAAGAACATGATTGTCAGTCCGATTAACGAAGCAGGTCCGATCTCCGCCCACAAGAAAATAATAGACAGGATGATCTGCAGAGGGCAGGACCAAACCAGGTGTATGAAGGATGTCACATCATGGAAGCACTGGGCATCAGCTGATATCATGTTCATCGTTTCCCCGACTGTCGACTCTTTGCGGTGGTCATTAGACATCACTATTGCCTTGGAAAAAGGGAAAAAGAGGGATATGCAGGATGAGATGGAAGAGGAAAGGAAGCAAGAGGACAACAATGTGGTGGAAGCTGCAATTGTTAGTATTATTATATTTGACTGATGGTGTGTGGTTATTATAAAACACGCATACAAGTAGGAGACAGTGCCTAGCTGAGGGAGTTTATCTCATGGGAAACAAGGGTGACTGTGACACAGAACATGTTGCTTTTTTTTGGCAGCAATTATGTGCTCATCATCTACCTATTATTTACTCCACTGTTTGGGGATAGCATCATCGCCATACTCTGATAAACTACAGCTTATTTTTATTTTGCCATATTGGACAGACACAGACATTCACAGGATTTGCAGGTGTGGGTCTCCATCATGGCAACAGCATTCATAGAATCACTTTGTCTTTAGCAAGTTGTCTTTAAAGTAAAAACACAACCTTTGCTTTATATCGACCCAAATTACGAAGCTTTTATTTTGTAAAGTTGGGAACTTGGGTCTGAAGATTGTGACATATGTCTTGGGTGGGTGATGAAAACTACAAGTGGTAATTTGTTTCATACAGAGGAAGCTCGCAGTCTGAGATAAAGTAAGAAAATGTCATTGCACTGTCACTCCTCTTACCTTTTTGTACACAGCATCCATGATGGCAGTGCGGGTCTGTATCCCCAGCAGAAAGCAGCGCTGGAAGTACTGCTGCAAGCACAAGGACTGCAGAATGGCAAACACCAGGAGCAAAAGTGAATACAGATACCCCACCCAGGCATAGCTGGATTTGTCCTGAATGAAGGAGATCATCGCTCTGGCAAAAGAGAATAGCTAAAGGTTATAAAGCAACACAAGGTACTGTGGTATCTCAATCATCTAGCTGCAGTTATCTAACACTTAATCATATTAAGTATTATATTTTCCTTCATTTTGTTTTCTGTTTACTTACCTTACCATGTCCCCTCCCCCTGTGAGGCATGGTGAGATGTGCTGATTAAACTAACCACTGACTCAATGAGTGAATGATTCAAAGGTCGGATTATTCTCAAATATGCAGCACAGCAGTTTTATTTTAGCTTTGTAGGACGTGAACTGAATTGTACGCAAGTCTGTTTATAGGTTTTGGGGGGTAAGTACTGTAATCCGTGTGTGGAAATAGAAGCTTTATGTAGCTTCAGAGGGAGCAAGAGTTCCCAACAATGAGGCCATAGGGTGTTTTTTACACTTTCATTGATGTCTCGGGGAATAATTCATGTAGTAAAGTTATTCTAGTTACCTTTTTTAACTGTCCTTTTCAAATTTTTGAGCAGCAATCCACTGTATGTAGTTGTGACTATATTGGCTCCCTGTGGTATACAGTGAGCATATAGCATCCATAATGGCCCTAACCTCTGAGTTAATGATTGCATGAGTGCTGACAGGGGTGAGGAAGCATTGAGCAGTAAACACTAAATACGACTTTATTGTCAGTTAGGTTCAAGGTTTATCATCTAATTTCGTAAGGACCAATAAAATAACCTAAAACAATCAAAATCAATTAAAAAACTGTAAAAACTCTTAACACACATCAATCTGAACAAAATCTGCGACATATTCTGACCATGATGAGGGGAGATTATTTAAAAAAACTTGACTCACTTCAGAATTTGAGGACCGGTGAACACCAGTATGTCCTGCACAACTTTAAAGGCGGCCGATATGATGAAATCCATTTTAAAGCTCTTGAAAATTGTGCTATACAGCCACGATTTGGGAAAGTCAGCTTTCTCTCCATTTTTCTTTTTTTGATCTTTCTTTCCCTTTTTCTCCTGAAGAAAAATGTTTGAAGAACAATGAATCTGGCACAACAGGCAAATCAATCAACAGTTCTATTAGGTACAAAAACCCATTTGGATTGGAAGAGAATGTATTGAATACTGTGTGTGTGTTCAGTGTGTTTCTCTGCACACCCTCACCATCATCAACACATCCTGACGGATGCCTACACTCAGGCCGTTGCTGAAGCCATTTTCGAAGGCCTCCTCCTCACCTTTGGCTCTGTTCTTTTGCTGTTTCTTCTTTAGTCGTTTTTGGAGGCGAATGCGTGCTGCAGCCAAGCTCGACTGCATGAAAGACTGAAAGACTTGGCTGATGGAAGCAGTGTTGTCAGCCTCTTTCAGCTCCCACAGGTCGTCCTGAGCCAGTGACTGCTTGTAGCCCTTCACCGCCATACTGCAGAAACAAAGAGAGGTTACTAGAAATCATGGTGTATGTTTGTATTCTTACTGTCGCAAACTCTTGTTCACCTGTTAAACCAGCTGAAGGTGATTCTTCTCAAGAATGGAGCACCAACCTCTGGATTCTGTGGATAGAAAAAATCATAAAACAAGCAGCTCATAGATGGATGATAAGCAATGTAAATTCTGTGAATTATGATACAAAATGCTTCTATTTGGGTTTCCAGCTACCTTTTTTATTGACTCCTCCATTTCTGGGGGGACATCAGCCAAAGCAGAGAGAACAAGTGCAATAATTTGGAGCCCAAAGGAAATGAAGAAAAGGCAAAAACGAGGGACATCACTGATCACTCCCTCCTGAGTGAAAGAAATATGTTTAGAGTTCCTGGCAGGTGGACAACATGATAGATCCCCAAAAGTGAAGCCAAATCACTTGCCCGTTTGACATATTGGCTGTAGTATAGGTCATAAACCCTGCCTCCTCCATATCAGCAAATTGGACCAAAATAAAAAGTCAACATATGCACTAAATTAATTTTTTTACAATGTTGGTTTTCCGTCATTTTAGGTAGTTCTTATCACACAGACGTATCTTCAAGTGTTTTCTGGCTAATTTGGTTTTGTTATTTGATGCTATAAAAATAGGGTGAAACACCATGATTGACGACTGAATCACGATTGGTTGATCACGGATATTGACATGACCTTGATATTGCAACTTTCTCCCCAGAGCACTATACTGCAAAGACTCTGGCTCAAAATTAGGTGAAACGATGGCGGCACCTGTATCTGGGATAATTTAGTACAATGGAATGAACTGGAGACATGTCATACGTCTATGATTTTGCTCATACATCTTGTATCATATGAAAATCAACATATGGATGTGTTAACAAGGTTTTGGAGGAGGTCTTTCATTGTGAAGGATGTGCAACAGTGAGTGGTGCATTAGTGATACATCTGGTGAGGTGAGATGCATCACATCAGGTGCTTGCATTGCATCTGAGTAATGATTTGTTTTTTGCTAGCTCCTTACTCGATCTGAAGTCTTTTGCTCATACCTGCTTGACTGCCTCTCGTGTCAAGGTCTGGAAAGGGAAGATGTTGCAAACAGAGAGCAGCCACCAGAAGAGGAAGAGAGTGGTGGAGTCAATTGCTCCTTCCATTCGTCTCACTGCTTCCTGGCACAACATCAGAAGGATCTAACGAAGAAGATTATGTCAAAATGAAAAAACCTACCGTCTTTCCATCTTGGGCACCAAAGCATATACAAAATTAAATGTAAAAAAAATACAAAATATATCTACCCATGTGACAGCATACAGGATGGGGTTTACATAGTATACAGCAGGGTGTTTCTCTGTTGAAGGGTGGCCTTCATGTGGACCATGGTCCTCTCCTATTGTGACTGCCAGGTCCGCAATGGCCGTCAGGAACAACAGAGACACCACAAACTGAGGGGAGGACAGACAGGTGAGTCTGAAGGCATGGTGGACCAGTGGTTAGCACTGTTGGTTAAATGGAGACTCTATAGTGCTATTAAAGTCTAAAAACAACTGCACTTTATTTGACTCTGGTTATTTTGTTGAGGGAGATGAGGTAAATGTGATTTTAAGAATTTTTAAAGACATAATGGGATGTTTTTGTGGACAACATTTATATATAATATTTAATTATAATACAAAATAATGTTGTTCTGTTTATTTTCCCTACTGTACGCCTTACCTGTTTGCAGAGGTAGAGCTTGGACAAGTGTCTGCTCTCCACTTTCGTCCTCCTGCAGAGAGACACCAGGTGATACGGGGCACAGAGCCACAGGAATCCCAAGGGAATCCACACCAGCACCGTCTGCTGCATACATACTGGCAGATCTGGCTCTGCTCCGATCAGATATGAATCATTCTGAAGTGCAAAAACACAAACATACACATGACTCATTCATGAACCACTGGAGCCCCAGGCACCACAGGGACACCCCATATGTCTCTGATTAGAAATTTAATAAACAGCCATTCAAGAGATTAAAGCCGATAAGTCGCTGCTCCCTATGTGCAGCGGCATGTTCAATGTGCACTGTTGGTGCTAATGGACGGAGAAGAACATGGTGTGAAAGGAGCTGTAACCTGAGGGGTTTATTGCATTACAAGAGTAAAAGACCCCGGAAGAGATCAGAAAATTGTGCAGTTTCAAATCTAATGTCAAATTATATTTATTAGCATTTAAAGCTATTCAGTTTGGCATGATACATGATGAAAAAA